TATTGTTTGGCCCATGAGCAAGCCATTTGATTTGGTTTGTGATTTCAACACTTCCTTTCTTTAACAAGTCATTAACCTAGTCATTACATAGTAAATTTGAGAAAAAAATGGTAATAACATGAATTGATTTATTATAAATTATATACTACATACCTTTTCTTCAAACCAAAAATTAAAGGTTTGACTATGAATTTTGTCAATCTCATGATCTTTCAATCTACGAGAGTGCCTCTGTTTCATAATCACCTCCTTATGATGCTTATATGCAGATTTCAATAAAGGATTAGTATGGTATATACTAATTAATTATACATTTAAGAGAGAACAAAGACTAACTGTAGAAATGGAGCAACTTCTTCACTATTGAATAGCACATATCTAGGTGCTTGTATACGTGTTTGGTCATCTAACTCAATTCGAGCAACCCTTTTTCACTTCTTCACCTGGAAGCCTTGTTTACCCTTCCTCCCTAGTGGTTTCCCATTTTCATGATCATCATCATTGTGCATTAGTCGATTAAATTTAGTCTCAACCCCCGAGAGATACCTTGAACAAAATGTCAAACACTCTTGAGCTAAATAAACTCCCGCAATTGAGCCTTATGGGTACCTTGGATTACGTACATATGACTTTAATGTGAAAAGTTCCCTGCTCAAATATGAATCATTATAAACATATTTAAAAATAAAATATTAACTTTATTTAAAAGAACTTGAAAATGAATCTATTGCTAATGCCAATTAGAATATCAACTTTTTGTTTACCAATGTGCAGCAATCATTGAATAATGAAACGCAATGTTAGTAATCCTATATTAAGAACTCTAGGAGCCATCAAACAAGTTTAATGAAAACATATATAGAGAATATTGCCAACCCCACAATTATTTCCAATATTCTAGCCATACAAAATATTGTCCCAAGCTTTGTCTTTTAGGGGGAACCATTTCCTAGGCTTTGTCAAGGGTCCCTTTTGGATGTAAATTTTATGAAAGTTACAGTGATATCTATTGATGTGCTTGATCTAGAACAGAACAGAGTACCACCGTTACGGCTTCTCCCACTAAAAGAGATTTGGTTGGTCATTACAAAGTATTCCAGAATAACTCCAACTCATAGACCATGTAAAGCCACCCACAATTCCACTAACAGCACTAAACTAACCACTCCACTCCTACACCCACCCCCAACAAAACACACAAGCTCATGGCATAAAAACTAGTATTACAGATGATACTTCAACAATAGAAAGTTGAAAATAATATAAAGTAGCAAAAAAGATGTCAACACCAGAGCACATCACAATTCATCAAGAAAGTTAACAAAAATAACCATGTAAAACTATAAAAGCTCCTTTATTCATCTAAAATACACATAACTAGCAACTGCTCCTTCATTACCCAATACTCCCATAAAAATCTAATTTTTCTTTCAAGAATAAACTCACTTTCAACCTTAAAAAAAAGGAAAAAAAAAAAAAAAGGAAGAAAAACTCAATCCAACAAAATCAATGACCATGGGAAAGAGAGAAATTGGGTTCAAATGAATGAACAACATTGCATATGTACAGAAAGTGAAGGAAAAAAAATTAAAATCAAGGTTAAAGAAACTAAAAAAATTATTCTAAAAGATATTCAAATTATTGATTATGAATACCAACCAAGCATAAAATTGACCAAAATAATAACATATTAATCTAGATTAACAT